ACGGGTATAGGTTTAGTGTTATTGCTTGTAATAGACCGTCGTTGATTGGACCTAATTGATCGGTCTCTGTTGGCATATGGGCTTCTATGCGGATGCCTCGATATTGTCTGTCTTTTAACTATATTTAGTCCTAGTCCGAGTCCCGGTGGGAAAAACATCACTCACTGGGAAGCAGGTACATCCAGCTGACGAGTCCCAAATAGGACGAAATGAGCATCCTGGATTCCACTGCTAGCCACTGCCCATCATTACTAAACATAGTTAAAAGGCAGGCAATATCGAGGCATTCGCATAGGAGCCCATATGCCAACAGAAACTGATCAATTCGGTCCAATCAACGACGGTGTAATACAAGCAATAACACTAAATTTACTCATATAATCATTATTAAAGTCAGTATTTTTCTTAATACTTATATTCGTTTAGTTGTGCGCACTGCCACCAAGCTATTCAGGTGATTGTTAGTTGTTCTGTAATACATCCCTAGTCTTCATATTCCCCTTGCGACCAATTCATAATTCTCTTTGATTTAGACAAATTATTCAGTCTGTGATATCCTGCCTCATTCAGTGTCTAAGTTTGTATTATGTGTGTGTATGTAGTCGTCTATTGTATAACAGTGTCTGAAATCATGTGTATAAAGTAAACAGCTGATGAGTCCCACTAATAATCATGAATTCAATAAATCATGCTTTAATAACATCTGTTACTTGTTATAAATTTATACTAAGAAACAAATGTTTTCAGATCTTAATAAAATTTCCGCTTATATTCTAGTGAACAGTTGACTGTCAACTTATTCGGTAGGTTTAAATAATCACTCATACAGGTAGATCGTTTACTTTCCATTGATCAGGTAATTTAGACAATTACCAAGAGTATAGAATAATTATAGTAGAAAGATTTTGTGAAATTTTAACCAGGTTCTTACATGATTGATATTTTGTATAGTTAGTAACTAAAGAGCAAAAATGAACTGTTACGTAAAGTGGTAAATTGTTGACGGTAATGAGAGACATTAGGGGGATAACAAAATGGCTAAAACTGTAATAGTAATAACAATAATAGAGCTATTAAAATATTAGTTATAGTGAATTGTGTGGTGAATGAAATGAAGAGTCTTGTTGTAATAAATGAGCTATACAGATGGCCAAGGCATTGAAAGAGGCTGTACGTATTTCTTCTGAACACACAGAGACATGGCTTGTTTAGATGGATTCCTATGGCTTCTACAGTATATAAAAGACGAACTCGTAGAGTATGGGTAAGGTTAGAAGGAATGTGATAAATAACTGTAAAGGTATTATGAATGTTAACTCGGTGGCCGGTGTCAATCAGATGCGAGAGTATTGAGTTTCGTATCAATCTGGTTTTGCCACTTACTTAACCATGAAGGGTGATGCTCGGCGATCCGACGACGTACATCCAATGTAACTAGCTCCACAGGAGCAGTTGAACTGATAAATGCACATAGAAAAGGAGAAGTCAAGTAGTCTATCTTTAGTTCGTGTGGTCATCATCGGTCGACTGTCTCTCATTACCGTCAACAATTTACCATTTTACGTAACAGTTCATTTTTGCTCTTTAGTTACTAGTTATACAAAATATCAATTATGTAAGAAATGCTCATCTTGAATTCCACTGCTACCCACTACCCATCATTGTTAAACATGATTGAAACACAGGCAACATCGAGGCATTCGCATAGGAGCCCATATGCCAACAGAGACTGATCAATTCGGTCCAATCAACGACGGTGTCATACAAGCAATAACACTAATGAACAATACTAGTTACGCTTGAAATCGTTAATTTTATTGATTGTAGGAGTTATATTAAGTATTTCTCTTTTCTATGATACGAATAAATGGGGGATAACAATAACAGTAAAGTTATGAGTTGGTCTGTAATTTTACTCTTGTTTTCTGATCTTTCTCATCGATTCCGCTAACTGTTTGTCTATCTCCTTCATCTCACCACTAGAAGTTAGACATATTCAGTGATTTATTGTTGTCAGTAAATAAGAAATTCCTCCGGATCATACTTTTTTTTCTCATATCTGTTTTCATTTTATTAGCTTTTGTGTCAAATGAACCTAATGTATATTACTACTGGTTCAATTTTCATCTTTTTATTGGATGTATCATGTGGCAAAAAGGTTTGACTTATCAAGGTGATGGGAATATGGACAGCAAATTGTGTCCGAACGTTATCAGTTATTATTATTATTATCTATCCCTTGGGTTACTACTGTAACATACGCCTTCACTAGCACGTCTCTACTGCACTCTCTTCTCTACAGTCTTCTCTTTCAACCTGGCTCCACGACTGTCCACAACCTCTCATTTCTTCCTCACATCACCTCCTCCATGTCACCCCCACCTCCGACGCCTAACTCGTCGCTTCCCATCTCGGTTTCACTCAAGTGCCTGGAGCGTGAAGTCCCTGAATGGTTTTCTGAGTGTATGCCCAATCCATCTTCACTTTCCTCCTCTGCATATTTGTTGGGTGACAGGTTCTTGGTTGGTTCCTTGCCCCAGTGAGTTCCTTGTTGCTTATTCTTTCTGGCCATCTGATCTTCAGTAACGAGCCAGCGTAGGCAGTTGTTGACGAACATCTGTAGTTTATTGGAAATGCTTTTCGTAACGCGCCAAGTTTCTGAACCATATAGCAACACTGACTTGACTGAAGTGGTGTTGAAAATCTGGATCTTGTTCACGCTTTATGCTGAGTTCAGTAGATCTGCACACTCATTTCAAATTTTTGAAAGTCTGTCTTGGTTTTTTTCCGATCCTGGTCTTGACATCCTCATCTGTAGCTGTGCCACCTGTAGTTGAAACGATGCTGTCTAGGTAGGTGTAGGTGAAAGAGACAACATCGTTTAGATTTCTCCTGTTGATAGTGACTGCAGCTTGTTGTTGCTGTTGTTGTTGGTTGGGTATCTTCATCACCTCTGTCTTCTCTACATTCACTTGAAGTCACGTCTTCGCCGTCCTGCCCTGCTCCGCCTCTCCTGTCAACTTTTTATATTTCGCCTGTATATCTTCAAGTTTGTGTGACATTAGACACAAGTCATCGGTGAAATCCAAATCTTCTAGGTTCTTCTCCGTGATCCAGCGTATCCACCTCTTCTCGCTCCTCACTGTTTGTTGCATGATCCAGTCCAGTCCACTACAATCAGGAAGATGATGGGTGATAGTAGACGGCAGCATTGTCTTACTCCTGTCTTCACTTCAAAAGCATCACTGAGCTTCCCACTGTGAATTAGTTGGGATGTTGCTTCCTCATATAGTTGTTGAATGAGGTTGATAAAGGTTTGTGGTATTCCGTAGTGTTGAAGTAGTTGCCAAATTACTTCTTGGTTGACGCTGTCGAAGGCCTTTTCAAAGTCGATGAAGTTGAGGTAGAGTTGAGTTGACCGGCATTCTACACTCTGTTCTATGATGATGCGTAGCGTTGCAATTTGGTGTGCATATGATTTGTACTTCCTGAAGCCAGCCTGTTCCGGTCGTACGTTATCATTTAAACAATATTTTTTTTGTATGTAATATATCTGATGAGTAGAGTTGAAGCTAATTAAGGAACTTGGCTAATATTTGCAGTATGTCATAAAATGATAAAGATAGGAAGTTATAGAATTTTTGGTTCCGAACCGAATGGCTAAATGGTTATCGAAGGTTTTGGACTCGATTCTTTGGTGGCGTCGGGGGTACTCACTCCGAAGGAGTCCCATAATAGGACGAAACAGCTGTCCAATGCTCCCATTGTTTTAGCGGTTCTCCAACTAATGTCTGTCTGTGATGATCGCAACCTTTAAATGGAATCACAGTGTAAAACATTACTCAAGTCGTACTTCTGTTTGACTGACGTTATTTATGAGAAGTCACCTGAACTAGACTTTCTGAGATTGGGTAATCAGTCTTCAAAATCTGTGACAACATATATATTTTCAGTGTTCATAGTGATGAATTGGAGACATTTCGTATGCATTAATAACCACTGGGGTTGTTTGAGGGAAATTTAGAGCAGTTAAGAACAGCTATATTCTGCTCAATACATAAATCATATCGTGGTTCGTTAAAGCTTTAGATGAGGTCCTTTAACACCAGCGTATTCCACACTGAAAAATCAATCATTACTTGGATCATTGGTCATTTCTTGCTTAAACTTATAGGTGAGTGTTTGAAGAAGCTAGCTAATTTTCCACTGAATTTATGACATCTTTTAACCAGAAATATAAGTTATAGGTAGTATTTATAACGGACTGACATCAGTTGAGGAACCATTGAAAACCTGGGCGCACTAGACAGCTGTTTCGTTCGAGTATAAGACTCCTCAGGAGTACATACTCTCGACCTACTTAGAGGGGTTGGACTCACGATCTACAGGTTTCACGGCAAAAGTGTTAACCGTTCAGTCGTTGGGTCGGTTTTTAATGGTTCGCAGTTTCCAGCTTCTGTCAGTGTACGATATAGCGCGATTATCACCCAAGGTCTTCAGTTACCGTCTGCTTCACTTACGATTGATTGATTCCACAGGTCATGGCTTCTAGAAGCATATCGCTATCCGGGTCATGGGTCTGTACTACTAAGCCGTCCCATAACTGGACGAAACAGCTGTCCAGTGCTCCCAAATTCTCAACGGTTACCCAATTCATGTTAGTTCATGATGAATAATACCTCTAAATTAAAAATCCTCATTCATCTCAAAAATACTGAAATATAAATGACTAAACGAAACTTCAATGAACATTCATACTCAAGATATTGTACTAGTAAAATAAAGATGAACTTATGGATTATAGGTAAACTTCATCAGTTGATAGTAACACGGAGAAATGTTAGGGCAAGTTGAATCAATCCAAAGTGAGATACACACCATCGTAATGTTTATCTACTTGAATAGTTTAATAAAATAGGTTGCCTATTGTTCAATTATGTAATATCTACACTTTAAATAACTTTTGTTTTAAACAATTTATTTTTCTTCTGTATATATAGTGAAGTATTGTGTGTTGAGTTGATTGATTTACGAATTATAACTGGATGTTCAGATGGTCGTATACGTGTATGGAATTTATTAACTCAACATTGTCAAAGAATTTTACCAGGTAATTATCGTCATGATCCAATTATCAGTATAATGCCATTAGAAAATCGGTAAGTTTATCTACTTATATTATATTATATATATATATATATATATATATATATATATATATATATATATATATATATATATATATATATTATATATTATATTATTTCATTTATAACACACAGTAAGACATTGTTATTTAATTGATGATGAAGTTTCAAGCATAAATTATCATTTCTCATAATCATATCAATGTAATCACACCACTTTCCACATCTCATCTTTATAATATTATCACCTCATATGACTTGTTTTCAGTGGTAGCAAAACTTTCCATATCTCCTGTATACATCTTGCCTCATTCCTATATGATGTGTTCGGTGTTGGTTGATTGGATGAACAAACATTCACTAATCAATCAATCCCCCCCCTCTCTCTCTCTCTCACCCTGTCTCTCCATCCAGTCATATTTGACTTGATTTCAATGGTTTTATCCCATCCACTTAGGCTATCGTGTGGTTGTGTATGTTAATGCATACAGTGAAATAACAGTGTCTCCTAAATTATCGATCTTACTCGGGTCTGTCATTCTATATTTGAGTAAATTCCTATATTCCGTTATTCTAACTGGCGGCAACCACCTAGTTTCACCTGTGTTCTTGACCTAACTCACAATCATCACATGGAATTTGATAGATTACATTATTTTGCTTGATTGCTTCTATACGATCCTCAAGCCAACCAACGAAGCTCATCTCTGAGTCAGTTTGTTGGTTTAAATGTCACCTTAATTCCAGTCTGCTTTACTACTGACCATTCTACACAAAGTTTCTGATGCTCCTTCCTCATTGAGTAATTCAATGGAGGTAGTGGACTCCTTTCTACTCAACAGTACACACAATCCAATTCGATTATTTTCATTATTCGACTTCTTATAGCTTCCTACGAATTTGTTTAGAAACAGTGGAGGATAATTATTAATTATTAACGGTTTTCTTGTGTGTTTCAATTCCTTGTTGAAGTGCTTAACACGACTGGTGAGCGTTTAACTCTCCTTCATCGTTTAGACATATGATGAGTGACGTGAGGTCTAGATACTTGTTAGAATGTGTTGATTTATTCTAGATGGTAGAATCCGAACCAGAAAATAATAACAATCGTGGGAGTACAAATAGTGATGATAACACAAGTGGAAATAAGTTCGAAGCCTCTATTGTGTTACCGTATAATGAGGGGAGATGAGAAAGTTTTCGTAGTATCGTCAGCAAAGCTGAGTTGAATTAGGGTGTTGTTTGGAAACTAATGATTCACTGAGAGATGATCTTTGTCAACTGGTTTAAGGATGCAATGAGACGAATAAAGGAGAATAGTCTATTGCACAAAATTTCGATTTGATTATTGGAAGTTATAATTTGTGCCACGTGTAGAATGATAGGCGTCAATGGAATCGAAAATGGAGAAGAACACTGGTCTATTGCATTGGATACATTAACAGGTAACGAGACAATAGGCTGGATGGGATGAAGCCACTGTACCACTGTAGCAATATAATGAGGTGGAGAGACAGTGTGTGTGAGAGAGAGAGAGATTGTTTCCTGAATGTTTGTTCATCGAATCAACCAACACCGAACACATCATATAGGAATGAGGCAAGATGTATACAGGAGATATGGAAAGTTTTGCTACCACTGAAAACAAGTCATATGAGGTGATAATATTATAAAGATGAGATGTGGAAAGTGGTGTGATTACATTGATATGATTATGAGAAATGATAATTTATGCTTGAAACTTCATAATCTAGTGAATACCACTGTATCTCTGTGTTCTCTATCAAATGAAGAAGTCTAGTATGATGTTTTTGTATATAGATGTTTGTGCCATGCGATATAGATTAAGGCTGAATCTAACGAACTTTGGTTTTGACAAAACTCACACCATCCATTAATCCGTTTCAATATCTATCTCTAGCCCATCATTACCATCATGACCTAATCTAACTACGGAAAATGTTCATTTCAGATTTAATTCACTGAATACTAGTAGAACTGTGGGTGTGGGACTATGGGTGGAATATTTTCTGTGAAATACACTTCGAATGTATAGAATATTAAACATTACTTCTTTGCTTACTGAATGTTTATGCTATTTTAGGTATAGGATTATACATGAATATAACTAACTCAGGTTAAAAGATATACAAACGGTTAAGTAATAACTTCTAAGATATTGTAATATTCGAGTAACCATGGGTACTCAAATGTTATTTTATATTCTGGGATGAAAATGCTTAGATAGTCGTCCATCCAGATCAATCTAGGTCCAGACGTAGCGGTGCAAGTTGCCACACCTCATGTCAGTACATCGAGTAAAAAGGCAGTCAGAAGAAATATAAAGCGTTAAAAGAGAGGAATGAAGAATGAGAAAATGGTGAGATTCGGTATAGTGTCGTTAAGATGAGGATAATGCATGTATGCATCTGCGCCACTGACATCGGTTCTGAGCCATATCACCTAGAGTCTCCAGCCACTGGTTCTTCTTGTCCCGTGGACCACAAACACCCAGTCTGCATCGCCGCCCCTTATAGCTCAAACCAACACTCAAACACTTCATACATTGATATCATGTTTTAGTCTTGCCGCCTCGGGCCTTTTCCAGCCTGGACCTACTTCAGCCAACATTGTGTGATGAGGCAATCGGTGACTAGGAATGCGTAGTACGTGTCTCAACCATCTCAGTAGATGAAGGTTCACGACCTCGCCAACTGATTTACCTCTACTCCCTAAAACTCTTTACCTGACTTCTGCATTACTCACATGGTGACACCACGGAATACGCCTCATACTACGAAGGCAACGGTGGTCAAACACCTAAAGCCAGCCTTCTCATGTCTTCCACCTTTAATGGCCATGTTTCACAGCCATACAGTAGAACAGACAGGACTGCTGTGCAGTTGCAGTATACGCGACCCTTAGTAGACAATCGGATATCTCGGCGGCGCCATAGGTGGCGTAAATTGGCAAAAGCCAACCGATCCTTTCGTATTTGAGCAAAGATTTCACCAGCCACTGAGCCATCAGAGCTGATTCTACTTCCCGGGTAAATGAAATGAGTCTGTATGCAGCAACATGAGTCAAGCCACTAGTTTGCATTCCACTAAAACCTTGGCTTTTATTGTAATTTAAAATAATTTTTTCATTCAATAAAGATACTACTGAATTAAGTCGAATACAGAAGTAAATCGTTTCAGTAGTATGATGAATTTACAAACAGTTTACAAATTGCACAGTCCAAGTTGGCATTCCTCAAAAAGCTGAGTAGTTTTTCAACAGAGTTTCTACTGGAAACCGCCATCCAGCTAAGATCTGACACAAATATCATAAACTAGCGGAAGATACTACTACTGAACAATTTGAGTAGTTAAATTCCTATTTTAGGAATACTGGTTCATGGAAGTCAGGTTACTAGATCCAAGTGGTCTGAACTAATCAGGCCGTGTGGAATAAAGTTGTTCGGGTATATTTTTGATGAGTTTAGTGGTAAACGAACGAAACGGCCATCCTGTGTTTAGATTATTTTCATCTGGCTGGTGAAATCTACAGATGAATGACTGACTGACAAAATCAACTTACCATACTTCACAGTAGTATACAAAGAACAAGAGGATAGAAAGATAGTGTTATCAACGTAGGCAAAATTGTATGAGAGGATAAGGAACCTAAAGATAAAGATTGATGTAAATAATCAGACCATAGAAGAAGACTACCAAAAGTCCTCAACCATTGATTCCTTTCTTTTCATGGGTCCCAAGCACACAGTGTCTACATCTCTCATCACTGTTCATGCCAATAGCCAGCGACTTCATGGACTAATGTCAGGTCATAGTCTGGTCACCCTAAATCCTTTTCAAAACTAATCCAAGTCGAAATGGGTGTTGGCTCAGCATGCATACTACACTTCCAAGCTATGTTAATGGGTAAAGGTTGAAAATCTCATCAATCGACTTGTTTGTCTTGCCAACTAGTACTCTTCGGCTGAACTCAACATATTTCACATAGGATGATTCCATCAAATGTGAGCAATACTACAAGGACACCTGATTAGTTTTGGATTACTTGGGTCATTCATACTTGCAAGTGAAGCACAAGAGTAGCAGAATAGGCTAAAGGTAGGAGAGACCTGATAACATTATATCGAATAACCAGGTTAATATCTAGGAGGGGAGAGATCAACACAGATGAGACCAACGAAAGATAGTGAAGGAAACCTAGTTAGCACCAAAGAGGAGAAGGAAACGACGGGCTGACCACTTCAAAGAACTGTCGACCACCGCCATCACCTGCAACTCGTCCAGAAGTACCACCAGCAGCCGAGCGGCTGAACCATCAGTGAACACAAGCCACCCGACAAAAGCAGAAGCGAAGTCCTGAACGCCATAAAGTTGATGGAAATACATTAGAAAGCACAGGAACAGATGAAATTCCGGCAGAGGCACTGAAAACAGACGCAGAGACATCAGCGAACATGCTCACACCACTATTGTAGAAGGTTTGGAAGGAAGGAAAGGTACCTGCAGACTGATTGGAACATTGGCTACCTTATCAACCTCTCAAAGAAGGGTAACCTGAGTCTTTGCAAGAACAGGAACTGGCGAGGCATCATGCTCCACTCATGTCCACCGCAAGCAAAATATTATGCCGTATCATCCTGGAAAAACTTAAAAGGGCTCTGCATTCAAAATTACGACCGGAACAAGCTAGTTAGCTGGCTTCAGGAAGGATAAATCATGTGGGGATCAAATTGTAACGCTACACTACGCATCATCACAGAACGGAGCATAGAATGGCAGTCAACTGGATCTTCACCTCAACTTCACTGACTTTGGAAAGGCCATCGATAGCGTCGATCAACAGGTAATTTGGCAGGGAGCTGCTTCGACACTACAGTTTTAGTGCCACAAACCTTTATCAACCTCACTCGACAACTATATAATGACCCTACATGTCAAGTGACTGACAATGGAAAGCTCAGCTCGGTGATGCCTTTGGGGTGGTGACAGGAA